GTTACATCCGTCTGACTCAACCTGTGGGAACGATTCATTTCTTTTGCTCCTTTAGATGGACGATACGGAGCTCAAAGCGTGCTTAACCTTGCGAGTTCACACATCCACACCCGTGGCTTTGTGAGAAATCGTCGGCTCGGTGTGTACCCTCGTATGCACACAACCGTGAACAAGCCATATTTAGGGAACACAAGCATCAGCGAGTTAAATTCGCATCCTTAGGATGGGGATTATCTTGAAAAATTCTATTACTAATTTTTTTGAATTCAAACATTCCGAAAACTTGATACTGATCGATAAACCACTTTTTCGCAAAGAATCTAATATCTGGAAAACTGTAAGAGATCGCCGATTAAGTTATAAGGAAAATTTATAACGGATAATTATCTTTAAAAATTAAAGAAATTTGAAAAAAATTTATAAATCGAAAGATTATAAGATTAATTTGAAATTTGAATCGATTCCCATGGATAAGTTCCACAATTCAAATGGCTCAACTTCCGGCGTGAATGCAGAAATTCCCTTTTATATTCAAATCTAACGAGACCGAGCTAAACCGAAGTATTGAAAACTCAAGAACGAGACAACTTTCACCCTTCTCAAATTTCAATTATCCTGCTCCTTTGCAAGCATAAAAAAATTATTACGCAAATTTTTTTCACTGTATCTAACCTAACCTAGCCTAAGAGATCGTCTCAAAGAACGATGAAATACGATAGTTTCCTACAACCTGAGGACGATCGTATCACGACAGAAAAACTTCGCACGCATATGAAATCGATCTGATAGAGAATCATAGGTGTACAGTTAGTTTTTCCGAATATATTATCGATTGTTCGCCTAATAGTATAATTTTAGATAACGCAGAATGATTTAATCAACTCAATTTAAATACAATATAACATGAGAAAGGTATTATGTTGTGTCGTATATAATCAACGGAAAAGTTAGTTGTAACCTGCATCGAGGTTAATTGTTTCTCTATTAATCGCTGTGATTCGAAAAAACTGATCGTACGATTGTTTTATCGCTTAGATAATTTTTCAAATTATGAATTATTTGAAAAGTGAATATGAAAAAAAGTAAAATTGTAAAATAATATAGTTTAATTTATATTTAATTAGAATTTACATTAGAATTTTATGATAATTAATTAATGAAATGACGTTAAAAGCTAATTATTCCTGATTGTTATTCACAGCATATATCGTATTAAAATATTTATATTATACGTACAATCTAATTAAAAAACGTATGGATAAACTTAACCTGTGAAATGAATAATATAATAATAACTATTACAATAATACAGAAAATTCGCGAAATAATATTCCGCGAATAAAAATTTGAAATGACGTAATTCGTACTATTATATATAATTATATTATGTCGTTAAATTATATGAAATCAATCAAATGATAAATATTTTTTTAAATATATCTTGTGTTTTTATATTATATTATAATGAAATAATGTTAAAATAAAAATTAATGAATATATTTAAATTAATTTGAGTATCGTATAAAGTTCTACGATATATGTAACGTTATTGTAAATCAATAAAGAATGAATTCTATTATGAACTTTTTATTTGATCAAAACTGGCTAGAAAATTTCATAACCTGTATAATTTCATCCCTGATCAACAAAAGCGATCCATATTGTTTATTTTAACATAAATACAATACAAATACAAAGAAGTAAAATATCAATTAATTAAAAATATTATTAAAAAAAGATTATAAGTTAAGATAAGATTAAGATTATCGTAAATTTATGATTGAATTAATAATCTCGATTATACGATATATATCGATATTACGATTAACGATATTCCGTTACGAATAATTCTAGTTATATTACACTTTAATTAATAGAAATGAAAATGATATAAATATAATAAGATAAAATAAATGTTATCGAGTATTTCGTATACTTGCATTAGCGAACAACATTTTAACTAAAAATATTAATTAATTTGGAATATCGATAAATATCGCATATCAGAAGTAAAAAATCACTAATCCATTATTTATACGCCACTGCGACTCTACGATATGCATATACATTTGTAGGCATGCGAAGACTTTGTCCGTTGAATTATATCACGAAATCTTCATTTATGCCGATGTAACGACGTTAACATTGCCGATGTCAACATTCTTTTTTACAACAGAAACTAAATGTCATTGTGCTGATTGCAATCATACTACATACCGCGATATTTTCACGATTTGAAACAACGCTTTATAGTTCACGTTTCTAATTGCAAGCAAATGCTTTCAATGTATATGTACGATGACTTTAACGATAAATAACTTTATGATATTTATTATTTTAATTAAAATAAATCGAAAGAATTAAAATAAATACCTGTCATCTAGTAGACGTGTTAGATCAGTCATCTCGCGCTCGAACTTGAATTTTGACACCTCGCAAAGCAGGGCGTCACGTTCTCCAATGACCTCCGAAAGTTCACGTTGCAACCTCTCGATTTCTGCATATTGTCGACTGATCAATTGATTTTTCTCTTCAAGGATACTCTCGACATCGGGGTCCAAAAGACCGGCCGGGTCACCGACACTTCCCAGTACCGTACTCATACCGTTTGTTTACTTTCACTGAAGCGCGCACACACGTTTTCGTCCTATCTCGTTCGATACTGGTCTCACGAACGTTTTTCTCGACGAGATCAACGAGATCACAAATGGCACGCGCGTCCACTATCAGCACGCGGCACACATAGAAACGCCCCCAGCCCCATATCAAACACGAATATCACATAGGACGGACACTCTGTCCGTGAAAAATCAGCGAAGAATCATCCACGAAGTAACACCGTTTCATCGCGTACTCGCCATCTTGCATCTATTGCCACCTCTCGGCTCGTGTCAGTCCTGATTCACGATCGTTCCTGTTCCAATTCCATCGAATCGTTTGTCCAGAAATACATAATTGCGCATGCGTGTTTCGTTGGTTCGCTGGAACTGGAGTGGGTTTATTACTACTGTCGTTATCGTAGCGAACTACGCCATCTCGAATTGAAACATTCAAATGATATGCTTTCTTTTTCGATTTTTATTTTCTCAATAAATCGAATCATTTGATTTAAATTTTATATATTATTTCTTTTACACTTTATATCAATTTATGAATTATCTAGTATTGCTGCTAATTATAGGTACATCTTTCAGTATTATTATTTTTTAAAAAAATGTTGATATTTGAAGATTCAAATATAATCAAGGACATCAAATTTAAATATAGAATATTTTCAGTTATGTTTTTTGTTTAGATTCACATTTTTTTTTTCAATAAGATTGTTTATATTTTTGAAATAATAGAAGTAACGATGTGTTAAATTTTGAAAATTTGTTTTATGTATCAGAACATTTATATATTAAAATTCCGGATATATATTTATACGCAAATATTATACAAATTTTAGTAAAGCGAATAAATAGTTACAAAATTCATTACTTCATTATTATTTTATCAGAGAGTTTCTAAAATTATTTTGAATAAATAAATATATAATAATCAAAATTATTTTCTAAATTTAGCATATACTTTAAAAATATTTATAAATTATATGTTAAAAAATCATAAGTGATTATATTTTGATATATCTCACATAATGTTTTGCATATTTATGTAAATGTAAATTTACAATACCATCAGAGCAAAACACGCGGTCTCCACATTACAAAAATAGGTTATCTTTCTACGCTGCGTTTCACTTCGTACTTTCGTCTTGCTAGACGACTGATTTCCGCTACGTTTGTAAATCATAAGAAAAAAATATTTTTGTTTTGTTAAAACGCGATTGTTTTCCCGTGTTTATTGCCGCGTGGGTGAAAGGATAAGACATCAAGGTCGATGTACTGATCGTGATAATCAGATCGACAGCGAAGAGGGGCATACTCGTCCTTTTAATAACTATCTTTAAATGCGACACGTGAACGTGGTGATAAGGAGATAACAGATTTTTCGGTGTATAGCCGAGGAAACGTTGTGAACAAAACAAAAAAGGATGACAGTTTATTCAGAACAGATTCGAATTACTGCGCGTAACGTGAAACATATTTTTTCGGGTGTGATGTTTAGGTTATCTCATTGGATCCTTATCGAGATTGAAAAACGATGAGATGCCATGGATATACCCGGTGATAAACTTTCCGTTTTCATTTTCAACTACATCATCTGATGAACATTTTATGAATATTATCAAGCATTAATTAATATGTTTGGTACAATGGAAACAACGTGCTTGACTTGAACTCAGGTTAAGCAGTTCTATGGAGCGTTCTCTACTATTGTTATGACGAAATAATTGCTCAAATTCCTGCTAAAAATTTCTGTAAATGGAAAATTCCTCCTGTTCAGCATCTGTTATATTAATAAATAAAAAAATTGCAACAAGAAGAAAATAATTTGAATTAAATTTATGATTGAATGTAAAAAAAAGAAAAAAAAATAAGAAAAAATATACATTTAATTGAAGAAGTGAAACAAGTGTAAATTATTGAACTAAGGAAAATAAACGAAATATACTATATAATACTTGGACTCTCATGATCAAGACATTACTGATTTCATTATTTCTTTAAGTTATATATGAAAATTAAAACTTTACTTTATAAAATAATAGTTTATAAATTTAAAGATACTTTATTTATATTATAATATTTTAATACAATTAAAAGAGAAATATATGTTTCTAAAATGAATAATCAAAGAAATATATGTTTAAATATGAATTTTCTTTCTAAATATAGTGCTAATGTTATAATTTACAACTGTATAATGTTTGTTTAACAATATTTTATAACAATTATTTATACTTATTTAAACAAATTGTACAAATATTAAAACATTTTTAAAATGAAATTCATGCTTTCTTCTATAATCTTAATTATTGCTACTTTTTATTTTTTGAATTACACAGCATGAGTTTATTTTATAAATATTTTATTAATAAAATCATCAATATATTCTAGAATTTAAACTTTTATGTATTTTACACAATATCATGTTCTCATAGACCTATAAACTTGTTATGTTTACATTGAAAGTAACGTCCTTTAAACTTAAGAAGAAATCATGACAAACAAAAAAAAAATCTATAAATTGTAATGTGGTATATTTCAAATAGTGTTTGTGCCATTCCTCTCATATGCAAGATATTGGCCACAGTTAACAATTCATAAGCATTCATATAAAAATTATAGAAATTTAGGACCATTCTAGAGAAAGAAATAAATTATCTTTCAGTTAAAATTTTTGGATATTATATTCTCAAAAAAATTTACTTCAATCATGACAGAAATCACCATTCAAGATTTACAGAAGCTTCTCATATATTTCTCAAAAAATACTTATAGAGCCAAGGATGCAGATAGCACGGTAACTTTTATATATATATATATATATATATACATATACATATATATACATATATATATATGTATATATATTCCAATGAATTAATTTTTTTCTTTATAATTCTAAACAATACTTTTTTTTAGAGTCAAGCAATTATGCAGAGATGTGTTCTGCTTATTGATTTAGATTACACTCATTATATCATAAGCAATAATGATGGTGATCTCAGTGCACATTATCCTAGCCATCTTATTATTTTAGATGGTGAGAAGAGTAGGAATCCAAATATGTGTGATACGCCGCCACCACTGCCTCGCACAACAGAAACTATATATGAAAATACTTTTGACTCTAACAGATTGAAGGATTTGATAAAACAAGCTAGATTTGCTAGGTGTCGTTCTCGATTTCCACTGCCCGTAATAATGTATAAAGGTAGACATGTATGCAGATCAGCTACTCTATCTGGAGGACCAGAAATTTATGGTAGATCTGGACTAGATTATTTATTTGCTGGTAGTGAAGGTATAGTTTCCATTCAACATCAAGTAGATGAAGCTCGTGGAAGTGATTCTGTACTTAGTGAGTGGCAATTGTTTGATAAAGTTAGGCATCACGATATCAAGCTTCTAAAATTTCTCAAAGTAGGAACTATTATTGACTTCATGGTTGAGAAAAAGAAAGTCAAATTCGGAGTAAAGTAAGTAGATCAATTTTAATTGATAATATTTGATGCATGCATTAATTGAAAAGATTAATTGAGAATATTATTTGTTTTTTATTATTAGATATATCTTTTATTTGAAGTATATTATATTCTACTTTTTTAAACATTATTTATAATATTGGTAGAAATAATTAGTATTAAATATTTATATATTATGTATATTATGTATATTTTGAAATGAATTTTAGACTAAATATATTACCATAAATTATATTTTCATGTATTAAAAATTTTTGTTATTTTATTAAAGGGACAGAATAAATTTTCATTCACTTCTCTTATGATTAAAGTATAATTGGATACTGAAAGAAATTTAAAGAAAAAAAAGATAGAAAAAATTAAGAAAACAATTCTCACTTTATTCACAGTCAATGAAGTTTTATAGCAATTAATAACATGATTAGTTTTTTTATTCTATGAGTTTACTTTTAAAAGGATTTTAAACAGAGTTTTTTTTATTCAATACTCAGTGTGACATCTTCAGAGAAAGTAGACAAAGAGAAGAGGTATTCTGAATTCACTTTGATTTCACTACCATATCCTGGATGTGAATTTTTTAAAGAGTTTAGAGAGAATGATTATTTGGCTAAGGGCTTAGTATTTGATTGGTCTCAGACACACGTAGATGCGCAAATCGGAGTGCCAGAAGATTCAATTTCTGCACAATTACGAATCAATTGGGAAGAATATCAAGTCTGGGACTTAGTCAAATTAACTCAAAATTATTTGAAACTTATATTACGATATTTAAGTGACAGTGGTAATGGGATATTAATTCATTGTATCTCAGGTATGTCTTTTTTGCGATAATATAATTTTTTTAACGTAACAATTTAATTTGATCTAATTAATAATATATATACTGTTTATAGGATGGGATCGCACACCTTTATTTATTTCATTATTAAGAATCAGTTTGTGGGCTGATGGTGTAATTCATACATCACTGAACGCATTTCAAATTCTTTATTTTACCATAGCGTACGATTGGATGCTGTTCGGCCATGATTTAGAAGATCGACTAAGCAAAGGAGAGGAAATATTCTTCTTTTGCTTTTATTTTCTAAAGCACATTCATGATGAAGAATTTAGTATTCATCCGCGTCATAGCAAATCTAGACACACAGTTCTACGCAACGACAGTGACTCACAATTAGATAACGTTATGTTCGATAGCGAATCAGTAGTGACATTGAGCTCAGTCAGTTCTAACTTAAGTCTGAATAGTTGGTGTAGTTCTGTTAGTCAAAATAGCAGAGACAGTCAAGATAATAATCCACCAGCGGTGTTTCACTGTTCTTCCACAGAACCTCAAGATGACAGTCAGAGTAACGGGTAAAATATATTTATTTTCTATGTGTATAATATTTTTCTGTAATTGCTTCTTTTATAGGAACGTTGTACCATGGTCATTTTATCCTTCTCCAAATAAAGAAGGAATTTCTCATGGATCACGATCACCTTTACCACATAATCGAACTTCTCCTGTTGCGGTTCCTGTACCTGGACGTCTTCGACAACGAAACGAATCCTCTTCGTCGGGCGGCTCTTGGCAGATGATATCTGGAACCGGAAGTTTACGTGGTTCCACAACTGCTAATGCCCCGCTCACAGATGGACTGACAACTAGTTTAGCTTGTAAGCCTCTTTGTGAAACTTTTACGGGACATACATCTCAAGAATCGAGTACGACAATTATTGAGGATGAAGTTTGTGCGTCGTCGGCGCAGTAAGTATCATATTATCAAAATTATTATAAAAAAAATTATAAATTCCGTATAAATTTTAATGTTGTGTTAATGTTTTAGATCTCGCAAAGAAAAATTACAATGCTTAAGAAGAATATTTTATAATGCTTATAGTCATACAGTTGGGTTTCGAATGAAAGATAATTCCGAATCGAGTGGCTTTGGTCAATTACTCGGTAACTTTGCTGAAAAAGTAGGAATTCTTTCCGTTCAGCGCACATCCTTATGACTATAACGTCATTGACCTCTCATCCCTCTTCCCACAATTATGAGTTTATTGTTATTGACTCCTTGATTCAAGTTAGAATTTTTATAAAAATGCTATACAATGAAAATAAAACAATTGTACATTATCATTTATGTGAATAATGTGTTGTTATACAAAATAATAGCGCGTATATGCGTATTAAGAATAAAAACTTGATATTTTTGATATATATATATATAATATTATATGTATATATATATATATATATATATAAGTGTATAATAATGTGNGAGTGTGTTCGTTGGTTT